CAGCCAGGGCGACCGCCCCCAAACTGGCAAAAAAAAAGTTTTTTAAAAAAGTTAAAAAAAAAACTTCCGCTTTCAAACCGGGAAGAGGGATGGGTTTTGTTTTTGCAAGCATCACAAGCCCCGGGGGAGGCTGAGACTCCCCCGGAAAATTTCGGAGGTAGCCCCCGCCCCTGCGCCCCCTGAACTCTACGCCTATGAGTAGGGGTCATTTCCTGCAGGAGCGCACAGGAGTGGAGCTTCAGCAGTAAAGAGCCCAGGGGGCGGGCACATGCAACAAGCCCCACGCCCTGCTCCCAGCAGCCCTCAGTCAGAGCAAGAAGCAGCCAGATAACTTGTAGAACGCCCCCCCCCCAGCCTCCCGGTCCAAAACAGTCCAGTGGCACTTTTAAGACCAAGTTTTATTCAGGCACAAGCTCTCCCTCCTGTGTGAGGACAGATCTGCATGTCCCCCCCCCAATACCTAACAATCCAAAACAGTCTAGTGGAGCCTGAGCGGTAGGTGTTGCCTTCTGACACACTTCAGGTGATGTCAGGGAGTGTGGCATATGCAAATAAGTTATGCTAATGAGCTTCTGCACCTCTTTTTCTACGAAATGACCCCTGCATGCAAGGTATAAATATATTTTACAAACTGGGATCTGTGAACAGTTTATGAAAGGAGCACATCCTCAAAGGCCAGGTCAGTCTTCCCCTTCACAGATTTACAGCATCTTTCTGATGTTAGGAACAGCACTCAGAGGAACAGCAGGGAGCTCATATCCTCTGAGTCCAACTTGCCCCTCCATCCTTTTAATCCTTCCTCCTCTGAGCACCAAACTGAAAGGCAGCAAACAACTCTCCCCTGGCTTCCCTTCCACCTGGCAGACTTCAAGGAGAAGCTCACAGAGGGCTTGGCTTTCTGCAGTGTGGATATGCATAAGGTTTGTTACATCTCCAGTATTAGGAAGCAGTAGGGTTGCCAAGTCGTTGCAGTCGCCGCAGCGCAGGACTCCCAGGCGGCGACTGGAGCGCACCCATAGAGTTTTCCCTCCAATGGTTGTGGCCCCGCCCCCAGCGTGCTCGGTGTCCTGATGTCACTTTCTGGTGACGCACACGTCTGGGTGGGGTTCCCCCCGGGGCCCGATCCACTGCCGGCGGGGAACGGGCCTTGGGGGCGGGGGTTTCCCCGCCCCCCCAGGGGGCTTGCCAGCCCTAGGAAGCAGATGTGGGCATTGTCCAAAATCCTGAGCACTCTAAGAAGGAAGCTACTGTTTTATCTGGGGAGGTGGCCAGGTGTACTCACTTGTATATTCCTCATTCCTTGATGAAGTCTACCAGAGAGAGAATTGCAGACGACTGTGGAAATGATCACCATAGTCCCTGTATGCAACACCTAGAATCCCCATTCCAAATAATATCCAATTAATATTACAATTGCTGCTAATAACTGGTTGATGTTGCAGAGCCAGCTAACCTGCACATTCCATCTGTTCAGATCTTCTCCCCTGCCTTCTCCATCTGCAAGCCAAAACAAAACAGCAACTTTAAGGTGTAATTTTGGCTTGGATATATCAAAATGCACATCCTTACTATAATAAGAGAGCCAGTGTGGTGCAGTGTTTACTGTGTGTTGCAATGTTTAGAGCTATACTAGGACCCAGGAGACCCAGATTCAAATTCCATTTACTGCAATGAAAGCTCGCTTGGGTAACTGTGGGCCAGTTACACAATCTCACCCTACCTTACCTCATAGAGTTGTTTTGTGGATAAAATCCTTTTTGGGAGAAAACTGGGGTATAAATAAATCTCATTCTAGAGTGGCTCGTGGCTTTTTGGCCAGTTTGATGTAGTGGTTAAGTGCTAGGGCGGCTCAGTCAGTAAATGGAAAGAAAAACAGAGTAAAAATCTTGCCTCTGAGGAAGGGAAGTGGATGGGGCAGTCAAAACTGTAAAAGCGAGCCAGTTTGGTGTAGTGGTTAAGTGCCTGGACTCTAATCTGGGAGAACTGGGTTTGATTCCCCACTCTTCCACTTGCAGCTGCTGGATGACCTTGGGCAAGTCATAGTTCTATCAGAGCTATCCTTGAAAGATCAGTTTCTGTCAGAGCTGTCTCAGCCCCACCTATCTCACAGGGTGTCTGTTGTGGGGAGGAGAAAGGAAAGGAGATTGTAAGCCACTCTGAGACTTCAAGTGAAGGGCATGGTATAAATCCAATCTCCTCCTCCTATTCCTCCTCTTCCTCCTCCTCTTCTTCTCTAATAAAAGTGTGAATACACAAGTCCATTTACAACCACATGGGGACGTAGGCATCTACAGTGGCCACAAGAGTGTTAGTGGAAACATAATCAGATTCT